AGAGAGGGAGAGAGAGAGAGAGAGAGAGAGAGAGTGAGTGAGAGAGAGAAGGAGAGGGGGGCTTTAGCAGTGCGTATCGACTGTGTGACCCGATAATGCTAACACCTGTCATCGGTGATTTACGCCGTGCTCTCTCGCAAAGATCATAGAAAAGAAACAGAGCCCCGGGAAACGGGTCGGGCACACTCGATGGGACACGAGGGGCCACGCGGGGCGAAGTTGGTGTTGTTGTTATTGGTAGTGGTGGTGCGTACGAGTGTGTGTGTGTGTGTGTGTGTGCGCGCGCGGTGTGTGTGTGTGCGTGCGTGTGTGTGTGTGTGTGGTGCGTGCGTGCGTGCGTGTGTGCGTGCGTGCGTGTGTGTGTGTGCGCGCGTGTTTTGTTTGCTATTGAGACGTCATTAGATTCCCGGTAATACGTACGTAGACGCTTTGCTCACATAACCACGATTTGATTGTGTGGCAAGATAAGAAATATAGAGAGGGAAAGACTGCGTGTGACAGAGACTATTCAACAGTGACTCTTCAGTGGTTGGGCTGATTATTCCCACGGTGATAAGTTTACTTTATATGCAATTATTCGATAGAATTCTATATGCAATTATTCGGTAGAATTCTATATGCAATTATTCGGTAGAATTCTATATGCAATTATTTGAAGGAAATAGAGACTTCCACCTCAACGACACGATAGCAAAGAAATCACTATCACTTTCTTTTCTATGGCTCACCTTATCTCCAAAAAAACCTTTCGGTCATTGTAGTTTCCAGACTACAACTTGCGCCAACCCGTCAACTCTCTCCCAAAGTCCGTTAGCCCGCAGCTGTCCACACAATACGCATCATTTCCTATATCTTAGCCTATATCTCACGGCCCGCTCCCAGCACCCGCACTAACAATACCCGTTTATATCACGTCGCGTGAAAGCGTAACGAACCCTTCAGTTAAGAGCTGTCAACTTTTACCAAAAACCCCAAATCCCAGCCCGCGCAGTGCGCGCGCGCGCAAAGGTTCTGTTATGAACCCTGCGCGACGGAACTGGTGCGCTGCGTCGGCGCGCGCGGCGCGCGGGGCGTCGACGGCCGAGGGTAGCCCCGCGCGACCTCAAGCAGCCTCTTAGAAGGACACACAATGAACACCGAACACACAATGAGAGACCTCCGTCTCTCTCTCCCCCCTCTCTCTACCTGGGGCTTTACTCGCGTACCTGGAGGCGTAATTGCAACTGTTAATGTCTCCCTATAGCAGCAGCGGCGGCGGCGGCGGCGGTGGCGGGGCAGCGGGCGAGGCCGTGCCTGGAATAAATAAGAAAACGTGTCTTTTCCCCTCTGAAACGATTACCGGTAACCATTAGTCAAGGACCGCCGATGCATGCGCAGGTCTAGGCAGTGATTACCCCGAGAGTGAGCGCGAGCGTGAGAGATGCGTGTGGACAGCGGATTACCACGGCTGGCGGACGGACTGGCGGGCGGGCTGGTGGGTTGACAGGCTGGCAGGCGGCGGGCGGGCGGACGGGTTGGCAGGCTGGCAGGCAGGCAGGCAGGTAGACAGATGTGCAGGCATGTAGACAAGCGGGCAGGCAGGCGGGCAGGCAAGCAGGCAGGCAGGCAGGTAGACGGGTGGGCAGACAGGTGGGTAGGCAGGCGAGCAGGCAGGCTGGCAGGTAGGCAGGCAGGCAGTCAGGCAGACAGGTAGATACGACATGCTGCACCGGACACGCCAGACTGATAGTCACAAACCCATTAGTTGCTCGTGGATTTCGTGTCTAAGTCTCCGCGTGTGCGCGCGTGTGTGTGCGTGTATATATGACCCACCGATTACTGATCTAGGCGCTTGCATTGTGCGTCCGGGGGTGAATGAGCGGGGGGGGGGAGCCGATCGCCCGACGGTTAGCGATAGATTGTGACTTACGCTGTTAGCATTTAATCAAGAGCGCATAAAGAAGGTAATTATACGCCTTCTTTATACGCTCTTGCTTTAATGCTTTTAGACTCGTGTGTGCATAGGGAGAGAAAGAGCATTGTACGAGGATGCGATGTGAGGGCGAGGCGAGTACATCGGTGTGCATTTTGCATGGTAAACATGCGCAGTTCACTCATCCAGCATTGTGTTTAATAACGAGACTTTGATCGAGAAGAATGAGAAAGATGGTGGTAGATGCGCGGCTCACAACGGTATACATAACGAAACTGACGTAAAAAATCGACGTAACGGTATATCGAACAGCTTTATAAGCACACACACACACACACGCGCGCGCACACACACACACACACACACACACACACACACCTAGCACCACAGCACATCACACTCACACACGGCGGCGTGCGCTACACAGCACAACCAGCAGCACTACCTACACGCACACAGTCTTGCCTGTGTCGCAAATCCGCAGCGCAAGCGCACTACACACACCACGCAACACAGCAGGGCCCCCAATCCCCCCCGCATTGTCGCCACACACAGCCACACATGCCACACCACACACACACACTCCAACACAGCACACATCACACGACACGGGCGGTTGCCTGCTTCCGCGCCGCGTCGTGCCTCCGCGCCCGGGCCTGCTGCTTGTGGGTCGGGGCCGCGCGGCTGCGCGCGCGGCCTGGGTGTGGCGCTAGGCCACACACAGCCACACACGGCACGGTGCCGGGGGGCAATCAGGTACCTGGAAGGAGCCTATTACGGTATTGTGTACGGGCCGGGCCCAGGCACGGGGACAGCACACGGCACGCGCGCGCGCACGGGGGGGGCGACGGGCACGGGGAGGGGCCGCGGCGCGGCGCATGGATCAACGGCCCGGGCCTCGCTCATTTGGCTTGGGTGTAGTCGTGTATATGCGCGCAATCCTATAGGGGGGGGGGGGGCTTCAACGGGAGCCACGGCTCCGGGGCGGGCGCCAGATAGCGTAGCGCGCAATGTTTGCGGGGGGCAATCTTTCCCGCGCTGGGGGCGCAGCCGCGAGCCGTTGGCGCTTGTTCACTAAATCGACGCCTGCCGGGGGCGCGTCCGGCCGAAACCGAGTCCGAGCTGTCGTGTCGT